TATAGGTTATTTATTACTTTCCATTATTCTCAGATAGGAGAAACTTGAAAACCTATTTTAACAACTAATAAAAATATATTGTTAGAAAATATCTGAAACATATTAAGAAATTTAGTTTATGCTGAAAATGAAGACGCTTTTATTAGTTTCCTGTTGCCAGAAATATCCAAGTATTGGGTTATTTAGTATTAACCAAGCAAAACATGCACTTTTCTCTAGTTTTATTATAGCTGTAAAAGATTTGAAATCAGTTTAATTTCTTTTAATTATAAAAGTGCACCATTTCCCGTAGTAAACTTCTTTCATTAAATTTAATTTTAGATTTACTAATTTCGTTCACCTTTCGTTGCAAAAGATATTGAAACATGCAATTCTAAAAATCAAACTGAAATATAAGAAAATTCCAGACGTTCACCAGTCCATCCACGGCCATCTTCTAACGTCGCTTAACTTCGGTGATCTATCGGGACTGGTGTTGTGATGTTATTTTTTTTGTATTACTTGTGATAAAGCTTGTAATGGCTAAATTAAGCTTTGTTAAGCTTCATTCAGAACCTCGCATCTAGTGGAACAAGTTAGTGGTTTCAATTACACTTTATACTTTTTAGTTTAGGATCATTCACAATGTCTAAAAAACACAATTAAAATTAATAGAATATCCTAGCAACAGCTTCCGTCAGTTACTTGTATCCATAGAGAAAGCCTAATATTTAGCTTATAAAACAATCAACTTTTGATTTCTAACCACAATTTATCTTGACGGAAGATAATCAAAGGCAAAAATGACATTTCTCGCAAATTTTGAAGTATATATAAAGTTACAAGTATCTACCACTAATTTTGACATTCGGAATGCTTACATTGAAATTAAAGGAACAAACTTCTATGCTAATTGAAACCATTAATTAATTCTGCTAATTGCGAGGTTCTGAATGAAGCTTTATTTATATAAATTTATATTAGGAGTCACCGAACAAATTGTCTTCATAAATTTTAACATATAAGCTATTAACTAAAAATAAGAAAACCATTTTAAGTTTTGTTATTTCGGGTGAAAAAAATATTATTTAATAGAAATTATATTTTTATTTTAAATAAATTTAAATAAACGAAGAAACTAAAATTTGTTCTACTAAAGACACAAAATATCTTTTGAAATAGCAAATCTCGTAAACAATTTGAGTATCGAATGGCATAATAACGAGCACCTACCCCAGCATCTTTCAGGCAGAAATCTCTGCTATCGAAAAATGCTTACAACTTATCTTATATAGGAATTATCGAAAACAAGAAATAGCCATTTTATCCAATAGTCAAGCAGCCTTAAAAGCGATCAACTGAGTAACCATCAAGTCGAAGTTGGTTAGTGAATGCCTAGACAAGCTGAAGAAATTATGCAAAGAAAATAAAGTCCTCCTACTCCGGGTACCATCCCTTGGAAGATAATGAAAAAGCAAACGATCTAGCTAGAAAAAGAGCGAACATTAACTGGACCAGAACCGTTCTGCGTTTCTCAAGTGGAAATCAACTTAAAGCGGAACTCAAGAACCTGGAAGACTCCCTCCGTAACCTGGAATAGGAATCCTCCAACGGTCTAAGACACTGGAATAAAATCCTCAGGATTTACAAATGAGAGAAATCAAAGAATTTCCTTGATTTAAGTAAGAACAGTCTAAATTAGAGCAAGGTCGTCTGAAAAACATGTCAAAACAAAACACTGTCTCCTCAATTAACATCTAAGATTGAAGTTAAGAAACAACTGCAAATGCAGATTCTGTGGGAAAAATGAAAATGAACATTTTCTAGAATTTCTCATCACTGAGTGCGCCGAGACGACAACCATTCGTGTCATAAACTCCACTGATATCGGAGATGGAGAACTAACCTTTGTAAAACCGACTCAGATACTGGCTGTTATCAAAGTCCTGAGACTGTATGATAAGTTATAACTCAAGAAAGGGGTACACAATCTACAAGAATATTTTATTAAGAGGTTAAAAATACAGGCAGCAATGATGCAATCAACACCATAGACAAATCAACACCTTAAGGGCAAGAAGGATAACAGTCCACCATTACCAGTTTAATTCTTTTCTGGCAAAATTACCTCGAGGATGACTGAAGGAATGGAAAAAGACATTGGAAAGACAGTGTAATCTAGTACAGCTATCAATTTTTCACCAGTAAAATAAAACTGAATATCAATGAAATCGTGTATATGTATTTGTATATGTATATCCAGGTTAGACGACAACATGTACGAGCAACATCATATTGCACAAATCTGGAATACTGTGGTCCATTGGCGTAACTACAGGGGAGGCCGGGGGTGCCGGCCCCCCCAGGTACTGCTGGGCATTTCCCAGATAAATCCTGAATTATGACTCTTGGCTACGTATTAGTTTTTATTTGCTTGAGATGTAGTAAAAATTGCGTTTCTAGTTTTGTTTAGTTAATATTATTTTGTTGTATTCAAAAAATATGTTAAATTTATTTTTTTTTAGAAAATTTATAGGTATTTAAGTAATCTACGGGAACACGGCTTGATAACCAAGTCTATGAAATTTATTGATAGAGAAATTCATGTAAAAAAATTTTTCATTTTTAAAAAAACAAAAGCCCTACCCCCCCCTGTTTGGATCTAAGACACTCGAAAAAGTTCTTCAGAACTTACGACCGAGAAAAACCAAAGATTTTTCTTGATTTAAGTAAAAACAATCTTCCGATTGTCACGGGGTTTCTAACAGGACACTCCTAAAAGAACACCTCAGTAGGCTTAATCTGAGAAACAACGGCGAATGTAAATTCTGTGGAGAAAATGGGGAAATAATAAGTCACCTTATCACTGAGTGCACCGAAACAACGACCGTTTGTGACATGAATTTTGGTACGGCTCATATTGAGGATGGAGAGCTGGCCCCTGTGGAGCCGTCTCAGATACTGGCTTTTGTTAAAGCCCTGAGACTGTATGATGAGTTATAACTCGTTATAACTCAAGAAAGGGGAACACATAATAATAGATCTGTAAAGTTGCGGTAATTAGTTCCCCTCCTAAACATTCTACATTCTAATTTTATTCGTTCCTCTAGGGATATATCGCTGCTTTCCGACAGAAGTGACACAATTCAAAATTTTGTGACTTTGGGTTTTTCTAACCCATAGCAATAAAAAGCGTCTTTTAATGAGCAAAACCGTTCCAATTTAAAATTAAATAATTCACTGTTAGGTGTCATCCGGACAAACTGTCACTTCTTGATTATTGGAATATGATTAACGTGGAAGACCGTGTCAATTTAGTTGCGTCATGGTTGCGTCGTGACATTTGTGCACGTTGGATCATATTTTTTTGCGAAAAAAGTCCCAATCCAAAAAGTACCAGTTTCGTGATACAGTGGTGATACATTTGAGATCCACTTTACAGAGTAAAAGGGCCGCAAAACAAAAAGTGCAAGCGGGCATGAAATATTCATGATGTCCCGTTTATATTATGTAAGTAATTGCTGTTTAATTTTAGTAATTATTTAAAATTCCCCATCATAATCTAGTTACGTCTTTCAAATTTCAAACATGTTTTTCTCGTACTACCTTTGAATAAGAAGACTAAGGAAGGAGCATATCAAAAATCTTAGGTACACCGCGATGGGTCTCAAATATGGCCGACTTAAATTCCGGTTTATCAGTGTCGTTCTAATTTTATTTAAAAAATGTAAAACTATGATGTGGGGTAGACTCAATAATTTGTTGTTTTATTTTACGTTGTGAATAAATGTTGGTAGTTATTAAAATTGTTATAAAAATATATAATTCTAATAAAAATAGATAAGTTATAATAAGTATTTATTACCACAAACATCCGATACGCTACTGAAGCAGGTAAGTCAAATTAACGTATCTAAATTCTTTGACATCTAATCTTTGACAAGTAATAAATAAAAGCTAAAATGCAAGAAAAATATATAATTTAGTTAATTAAAGCGAATTTCATAAATGATCGGTTTACTACACGTATGTATATTATATAGTCACTTACTAGCGAAAAGTTGTTCCATTATTTCACTCAATTTTTGCCGAGATCTACCGCACGCTACACAACCAACTATTTCAGAGTCTTTTTCGATAAATCGCGATAGTGTCACTGTTAATTTAAGTGCTGCCACAATCTCCATCTAGATTTACTACCTTTATACAACTATCAGTAGTAGAATAAATAATAAATAACATAAAATAAGCTCCGTAAAGACTGACAAATCCACAAAATTTCAAATCAAATTCAAATGTGTCAAATGAATCGTCAAACAGAACTGTCAAGGATCCCCACCCTAGAGTGCTTTTATGGCGCTTTTTCCGCCCACCATGCATGAATACATGGATAGCATTATGCTCCTTCCTTAGTCTTCTTATTCAAAGCGTATTATCACTATTATTAAATTATTCTGGTGACAAGCCACAGCGGCAACCAAGGCAACGAACTAACAAAAACCAATGAACTAGTAGTTCCTGGTCCAGAGCAAGTACTGGGAATACCCAAATGTATGACCCGTAATGCAGTAAAACTGTGGATCAGGAAAAAGCAGAATGTCCGCTGGAGAAACAGACATAAGCACAGACATGGCAAGGTTAGACAAGGAACACCAAGGATCTAATTCAAAAACCACAATGAACCTGCCTCGGAACCTGCTAATGCATAGCAGTAATACAGTTCGGGTTATAATAGGTTTCTTGACACTCTTGACAGGGCATATAGCAGTCAACTGCTACCTGAACAATCCCAACCTGTATCAAGGAAGTCTTTGCTTCAGACTCTGCGAAAAAGATCTTGAAACAGCGGAGCACATAATATGTCACCTCGAGGCTCTGGATTGCAAACGACGCTTTCTGTTTGGGAAAGCAATGCTAAAACCGGATGAAGTATGCTTAAATCCTATCAAGGATAGGAAAGTGGGTACAGACATAGAAAGGACGGCCCCTTATTATTGAAAAAAAATCACTATTCTGCTTACCTCTAACAATGATCTTCCGCGTCTCATCTTTCTGAACATTTCTTTTGTGTCCATTAAAATATTCGTTGTTCGAATTTCTGTCGGTCCTGACTAACTCGCTGAGAAAATTTATGTATCCTATGGCCAATTTAAGTGTGTCAACTTTAGATAGTCTTTTCTCGTAGGGCAAAGTCGGTATGTGCGCTCGTAATCCTTCGAAAGCGTCGTTGATTGATTGCATTCGTTTTCTTTCGCGTAGGTTAGCCGCTTGTCTTTGCTGGATTTGTTGTTGGGGACATTTCGATTTTCTCCTGTGACGATGAACTCTTCTGAAAAAGAAGAGTAGTTTAAGGTTTAAGCGCAATTTTACAGAGTAACGGTTGACCGGTTACTAAACATTATACACAGAAATACTGGAAATACTGTTTATTGAAAGTTTTTATTATTAAAAGCGTTTTATGTACGATTAAGCTGTAAAATGTATACCCCATCAAAAATATAGAATGTAAAAAATTCTCGCAATGCAATTCTTTCACTACAACAGGTTGTGAGATCTCATGTAAATTCAAGTCAGTTCAATTAGTTTCTACTGAAGGACCTATTCAATCGACAATCTTCTTATAAACTGTAGGTAGTTTGGTGCATCTCAATAGCTTTATTTTTTTTGGAGATATTCACTTTTGAACAAGACACTACAATTTTTTCGCATTTTTTACATTAAAACCATACCTTTGATCCTAGACAACAACTGTAAAATAGTATTTACGATTTGTGTAATGTCACTGACTTTGAAATATCATATTATTATTGTCTGTTGGGAAGTTACTCTAGCAGTGATGGTTTTAAATCAAAAAGTTGATCTCTATCATGATCAATTAAAGCAGCAATAGCCGATACTTTAGAGCTTAAAAACATATCTACTAGAGTAAACGTTTAGTGTGTTGATGAGGACCCAAAAGCAAAGGTACCTGTGCTTTCAATGCTAAAATTGCTGTAAATCGTTACTATCATATTCAAAAGCGAATATATCCAACAAAAATAAAGCTATTGAGATGAATCAAGAATATACTATCGAGAAAAGAGGTACCTAGATGATACAATTATTTTTAAACTCCTTGCTTTGTTAATATATTCCACAGGGGTGTTTCAAACTTTCAACAAAATATCAACATTTTGTTTTCCCTCGTATAATTGACAGATAGCAACTTTCATTTTTAATTTAGAAACACTAAAAAGTCAAATAATTTTGCTACAAATTACTTCAAAATCGCCCCAGTAGAACAAAATATATAGACCTTTAAAATACATCAAAATTTTAAGGTGCCCGTTTTTCGTGCTGGTGAGTGTATATCTTTCAAAATAATATTAAAGAAGTTTGAGTAACGATAATTCATAAAATTTTAATTGTTGCTGTTACATTGATATGCAAATAAAATATGACAATATCAAATAAAGTAATTCTAGTTTTCTAACTTTTTTTTGGCTGGAAGTCCGTTACCGGGAGCTGCTAGACACCTAATTTTTAATACATAAGGATATTTCGAGATTTCTAATTTTTTTCTTCTCTTATAAGCTTAAAGCTCATTAAAATTTGAAAAGTTTGTGAAAAATCTACAGATACCTTAGACCTTTGATGATGGCAAGTGACTCATTGTTGAAATGAAGGAAGTTTTGTTAGTAATAATAATTAATAACCTTTAAATGCCAAAGCGAATGGCGATCCGTAACCTGTAAAATTCCGTAACAGATCTGAAAGGGTACTTTCCATTAGGGTAGAGGGTACTAGTGGTGGTACTTCTTTTATTCTTATAGATACAGTAATTTCAACAATTGACATAAAAAGCTAGAACTTTTTTTACGTAAAAAAGGTGCTCTTCGTTTAGTTCGAAACGGTTTTCAAGATATTTGCGTTTAAAGATAAGATTACTATGCATTGATATTAGAATTAGTGAAATGATAAAATTTAAGAAATTTTAAATAAATGAATCTCCTGATTTTTTTAATACCCCAGTGCAGTTATGACATTCACCATGTTGAAATTGCAAAAAATTTTAGAAAGCTGCGACCATTGAAAATAGTTAGCCTTAGTAACCCTTATTAACATACTAAAAGTCCCCATTTGTCCGATGTGTGCATCATCAAAAAAAAATCGGCCGCCATCTTGAATTTTGGTACTTTTTGGGGAAAAATGTAAATAACTCGAAAACGGTTTGTTATAGCGAAAAACTTCAAGAGGTAAAAATTAAAGAGAATAAAAAACTCTATTAGAATCAATAAAAAATAGTTTATTATCCTAACGCAATGACGTACAAAAAGATTTTGAAAATCGAGCAATTTTTAAAAGGAATCACCCAAATGTAAATTACTAATTTTTTAAGCTTATTAACAAATAACATGGATATTTAGCATCAATTCAACTGAAATACAATCCTTGTAACATTTTCAAGAAATATTTTTTATTGGTGGGTTAATAATATTTCAAAATTAACAAAAATTTTAAAAGCTATCCTTCACTAAATACATGTGTACTAATAATGTGCGAAAGCAGTCTCCACCTTGTCCCAGTCGGGGCTATTTGCACTTAAACGAAGGTCTTATTGTTACCATTTTGTAAACAACTTGTTTTTAAAAATACAGTAACAGTTTGAAAATTTAGGCTACAGGTTGGAAGAAAAAAATAAAATGTAATGTAAACTGGCGATTTTCAAAACGTTGCAAAAAGATCCTCATCTGCGACAAATTACATCCGTTTTTTTTAGATCCTGCAGCACAAAAATCTGAGCTAGTCGAAGCTGGAAATACATTCTTATTTTCATTATATGGTCGACATAGGCTAGCAAAAGATTTAGATCAGTTGAGGTATTTTAAATATGAAGCCCTTACATCTCGTCAGGTACTTATACTAAAAATTTTGATTTAGCTACCTTACCTCCAACAACTAACGCAGCTGAAAATCATTATTATAGGACCTATTTATAAATGCAGTATTGGCTAAATAACGGAGAAGAGGCAACAGAATGTGAATGGAGTAAAAAAACGGATACCTTAGTTCCAAAAACAATGTCAAACGCAGTGGAACCAGAATTTGTATGGAAAATGATTTATTGTAATTGCAAATCTGGACGTAATAAACTATGTACCACTGCGATAAAAAAAAGTAGTACAAGAATTAGTAGTCCCAGATGGAACTCCTGGTCTATAAGGATATTTGAATTATATTGAATTTTTTTTTGGATTTAGCCAAAAACACTGTTTTTTTGTTTAACCCTAATGCATCTGCAATGTCCCTTATGGGAGCTCCATCCCTTAATCGCGTAAATATAATCGATTTTTGCTCTGAAGTTAAAGGCATTTTTTAAAAATTACGTGACACTGACACAAGAATATAGACCAGCAGAAATCATATTGTGTTGTACTATTTCTTTTAATCGCAACAGTACATGTTTAAAATCCAATATGCCATGTTCATGCTTGTGTGGTAACTCTAATGGTATTTCTTGCGAGAACAAACAAATATCGGTCGATGAAGAACAAATCGAATAAAATTGTAAATTTCATTTTTTTTCTAGAGATGACAGTTGGAAAAGTTAGGTTACAAGTTGGTAACACATTTTTATTAAAATGGTCATAATTTGAATTATTGTTATTCGATTTGTAGGGGTATGTTTATAATGTATTTATCATAATGAAAAAGTGTTAAGATCTTAGGTTAAGATCGTAGATGATATTTATGTCAAAAAGACATTCGCAAGACATTTTATTTTTTTCTTCCAACCTGTAGCCTAATTTTTCAAACTGTCACCTGTGCTGTCACTGTATTTTTAAAAACAAGTTGTTTACAAAATGGTAACAAAAAGACCTTGGTTTAAGTGCAAATAGCCCCGACCGGAACAAGGTGGAGACTGCTTTCGCACATTATTAGTACAGTACGTCTGTCCGTTCTGTAGCTACGGGGTATCCGTGAGAGGGGAAACGATATTCTCTCGATGTTTTTCGTAAAAAATAGACAACGCTTCCCATCAATTAAAATTCAACAAATTTGCAAGTGGCCAATAAAATGAGTGGGCGGAGCGATTTGCGGTGACGCACTCGTCAAATCGACGTATAAAATATATTGCTGTTTATTTAAATGTTTTTTGTCCGCATTCCTTTCATAACTGAAAACTAATATCGGTGTTTGGAGCTCAATTTTCATCAAAAACTTGATGGTGAAAACCGCGCATCAATATCCGTTTCGGAGTTACGGGGTGTTTTTCAAAAATGTGCATTTTTAACAAATCGCTGTAACTTTTTTGCTATGGAAAATTTTGTATTTCCATGAAAACATTTCCAGGTGCTTTGGATTTACAGGTGCGTGTTGTGATGTTCAAAAACTGCCTCGTTTGACTATAACAGAAGATGGTCGATATGTCGAACACTTGTAGCAAAATCTCATGTCTTAGTTTGCTATTTATTTTTATTGTTATTAGATATAGTTTAAATGTGTTGATGTTGGTTAAATATATTTTAAATTGTTATAAAATTCTGCATCTCTCATAGTAAATATTATTTTCGTTTTAATTGATGCTCACAGCTAGAATTTTTTTGCATTACAGCCGGTGCCGTTCAAAGCCTACTTATTTAAAGCGGGCGAATTTTTATATACTCTATATCTCGAAGAGGAATCGAGCAAAATATCAAGTGTGTTATATTTTTGGAAAGGTAATTTTAAATTATTTTCAATAAATTAAAAATATACAGGGTGTCCCATATAAAGAATCAAATTTTCTGTTGATAATTCTTAAATTATTAATTCTAAAAAAAATTATACTTAAACCATTAAATTCTACGTAAAAAGGTGCTTTGGAAATGTTTTCATAAAAATACAAAATTTTCCATAGCAAAAAAGTTACAGCGATTTGTTAAAAATGCATATTTTTGAAAAACACCGAAACGGTAACAGATATCAATATGCGGTTTTCACCATCATGTTTTTTACAAAAATTGAGCTCCAGACACCGATATTAGTTTTTGTCTATCTCCTATAGAAAAGGGTGTTTCCATTTAAAAGCGTCGAATTTGACCCACCCTGTACATGTGTATTTAGTAAAGGATAGCTTTGACAATTTTTGTTAATTTTGAAATATTATTAAACCACCAATAAATATTTCTTGAAAATGTCACAAAGACTGTATTTTAGTTGAATTGATGCTAAATATCCATGTTATTTGTTAATAAGCTTAAAAAAATAGTAATTTGCATTTCGGTGATTCCTTTTAAGAATTGCTCGATTTTCAAAAAAATTTTGTACGTTACTGCGTTAGGATAATAAACTATTCTTTATTGATTC